CTACTACTACTACTACTACTACTACTACTACTACTACTACTACTACTCTACTACTACCCAGGACATCAGTGTCTTCTTTTGGAAATGTTTTGGTTTTGGTTTCCTGGTTTTGGTTACCGAATCAGCGGTTTTGGTTACCGAATCAGCGGTTTTGGTTACCGAATCAGCGGGTTTTGGTTACCGAATCAGCGGTTTTGGTTATCGAATCATAGTTACCGAATCAGCGGTTTTGGTTACCGAATCAGCGGTTTTGGTTACCGAATCAGCGGGTTTTGGTTACCGAATCAGCGGTTTTGGTTACCGAATCAGACGTTTTGGTTACCGAATCAGACGTTTTAGTTACCGAATCAGCGCTTTTAGTTATCGAATCAGCGCTTTTAGTTATCGAATCATAGTTACCGAATCAGACCGTTTGGTTACCGAATCAGACGTCGACCTATTGACATGGATGGCGTGGCCGGGAGGATCCAAGTTCAGGTTTCAGATTTCAGGTTCAGGTCTTTGTTTGTTTCGTTCTTGGTAGGCTACCGGCTAGACCGACGGCTGCAAGAAGGTCAAAAAGGATTTCGTTCTTGTCGATGGAAGGTGATCTTCATTCCAAAGGGCTCTTCAAAACCTTGCTTCTTTCGTCCTCCGCTCTCCTCCGCTCCTTTCAGGAGGTCTACCGAAAGCTCTTGGATGCGCGGCGGAAGCGAGAAGAGGCGCGTGTTGGAAAAATCCCAGCTGGATATCCAGCGAGATCAGAAGGGGGTTTTCCAGATGGATCTGTGCAACCAAACCCACCCCAAAGATCTCCCAAAAATTTGGAAGCTATGCTTTGCTCGGGGGTTTGGGTACGGTTTTCACGGACACAGAAGTCAATGTGTATTTGTGGAAGTGCTTAGGTGGTTCTTCTTCTCCAGAAACCAAAACACCGAGAACCGTTGTCGCATCATGTGACTCTGAGCCGTTGAGCGGATAAACGGCCAAACCGTGGCCCTAAACGGCCTGAACGGGTCGATGAGACGTGAAAATATGTGAAAACCTTAGGGACAGGGACACTGAAAGGAGAAACGATGTGTTTCGTTTTTTGGGGCGAAGACCACAAGAACCTCGAAAGTAGATGTGGTTATAAGTTATAAGGCCTGGAGACCCAGGCATCAAACACTGACTGGTGCGGGTATGCATCGACCACTGACTGGTGAGAGCACTGGTTTTTTTCAGGCATACAATGGGCTTCGAGCATCAAGGATCTCAATGATTCGGTCAAGACCGTGCTTTTGCGAGTCCAAACAACGCAATGCATCTATACATCTAATCGAGCTAAACGTTACATGTTTAGGTTAGACAATCCCTAGGAGTGGCCTTGGTTTTGGATTGCCACCAACCCCAAGGATGGTCTTGTGCTATCAAAACAGCTTCTATTTGAAGACTTGCGCATCTGAACCTAGAGGAAAAACAAAGTTCAGTTTCGGTTTCCTCGGTTCGGTACCCATCTCGCATCTCACCACCCTGGGAGGCCAGAGAAACCGAAGACAGCGATGCTCGGTGCTTTCAGTCGGAGGATATTCTCGCGAAGAGTTTCAGGATTGATGAGAATAGTCAAGATGTCAAGACCGGAGTAAAAAGACTATTTTATAAATGGTCTATGAAGGTGACCCAAAAAGGATGTTCCTTTACTTCAGTCGGTCCCAACTAGTCTTTGCACTGAAGTCGGGAAGGCATTGTCAAATTCTGAGGGATCCTTTCTTTGTGATCTCTGGAACCAGAACTCCAAAACACGGCCCCCGGCCCGTGTTTCTTCTGTTACGAAGGCGGTGAACCTTCCTGGGGGGCAGCATCGGTTCGAAAATACGAGACGTCCGGACGACGTGTTTTTCTGTTGTAGAGGACAGATGAAGAGTACTGGGAGTGATGTGGATTTCTTCTTGTTCCTAGTAGTGATGCCCTTTGCTCCTAGTAGCGATGCCAGGAGCCCCTATTAGCTTCTTGTTCCTAGTATGCATTGGTTTCGATCCTTTTGAGTCCTGCACGCATTTGAATTCTTGTTTGAAATTGCTTCTTGTTACTAGTAGTAAGGCCAGGAGCCCCTAGTAGCGTCCGATCGCTCCTAGTAGCGATGCCCTTTGCTCCTAGTAGCGGCCTTGCTCGGAGTGTTTGGATGATGATGCTTCCCAGTGAAGTGGTTTCCGCTCTCCAGATGCTTTCGGAGCCATCTCCCTGAAGATCTTCCGTTGCTGCCTGCGGCCGGAAGATCTGCCCGCCCCACGAGGAACTGGCAAAAGCCATCGCTTTATCCTTGGAGTAGCCATCGCCCCACGAGGCGCGAAAGATGCGGAGCGCACCTCATCTGGAAGCCATGCCACACGTGAAACGTGAATCGGGTAGGAGGAGAACACATGGCGTCCTACTCGGGCTCGTCCGAAACCATGATCTGGATCGAATTTCCCACCCCCAAGAGCCAAAGCGAAGGGCTAAAGATCCCAACAAAGCCCGCCTGCGAACTACCAGCACCCAACTCTACAGGTCGGTGGCTGAGACTTCACAAAGTGGCAGGTGGTGACCTGGCAGAGCCACGCCGCTCCCGCTCCTCCCGCTCCTCGCTCCACGCCCACAGGCCGCCGCAGCCGGCGCAGCATCCCGCGGCGAACGCCGAAACGTGCTGTTCGCCGTGAGAAAATGGAGCCTTTTGGGCGGTGGAAGGGCGGGCGAGGGGCGATTCCGGCAGAGGAATGTGTTTCAACAGCGGTTTGGGAGAGACCGAGGCAGAAGCACTGACAGTAGGGCCCCTAGGGCTGAAAAAATAGAGGCAAAACGATCCAAAAAGGCGATGGTGACCAACTCACCCAAGATCCTACATCACTAGGAACAAAGGGCCTTACTAGTAGTAACCAGAAGCTACTAGAAACAAGTGCCACGCTAGTAGTAACAGGTGCCTTACTACTAGTAACAAGAAGCTACATGTCGGGTCGAAGTCTCTGGTGGGAGACCTCACCGGTGGGAGAGAAACGCACCGACCCCGGCAGGTGCAGGTCAACGTCTGAGCGTCGCGACCGGCTGAGCGGTCGTAGAGAGAGGCATTCGGTTTTTTGTCGATTTATTGGTGTCGAAAAAAGCTGTGCGGCGTGGGTGTTTGGTGTTGGATGTGGGGTTGGGGGGGTTCCCTGGTCAGAAGAAGCCGACCTCACCATATGGATGAGATAAAATCATTCCATCAAAGTCAGTTGCCAATTCCGCCAGATCTGGAAATCCCCGATTCACCAGTGGCTTCAGGGACACCGGACACCGCCACGTGTTTCAAACAAATCCCTAACAGGCTGTTCCTGCTGATTTGTTCCTGCCAAACAACTCTTCCTGAGTCTTCCCCTATCAGCAGGTTCAGACTTTCAGTGGTTAAGCGCTATTCTATGACCGTATGTGATCAATGTCATGAAGGGGACCAGAAGAAGAAGAAGGAGCTGTCAGAAGCGGTGGCCTTTCTTAGGTCTCCGAGTTTAGTAGGCCTATCCTCTACTTTCCATGGCCAAATTTAACGTCAGGTTCCAGTCTACTTCTTGTTCAAAGTTGATTTTTTTGTTGATCACATGACTGAATCATTCACAATCCTACGTTTGCGTACACGGTGCATCCCTCCATGCTGTGATTACTGTGCAGATGACCCTTCAGTGTCGCCCCTGCTCGGGTTGATGCTGAGTCAGTGAAGAGCCTCAAGTTCCAACATCGGCCAGCTGGGAGGTAGTGAGTTGTTTCTATTTTGGAAGCAGATGATTGAGGCAAAGCCAGGTAAAGTCTACCGTTTGGGGAGGGGATCAACTGCCACTGGCAGCAAGAAGTGGCACAGTCCAACTAAAATCCACTAGACTCGTTCTGCCTGCGATAGCGATAGGCGCCGTTCCTTGATCGAGTAGATCCGAGCGGTTGGCTTATCGCTCGAAAGACCAGAGGTACCGACCGGAGTTCCGAAGGGGACATTTCTCATGCTACACAACACATGCTGCTGGACTTCGGCATAGAACTCATACGGAGCAAAAATGGTAGTTTACGCCGTGGTTGGTTTTCCAGGTGCACACCGTTGAAGAAATCAACCATAAATGTAGAGGGCTGAACCTCAGAGGTCAAGCGCCCCACAGCAGGAACGCTCAGTCCAACGAATGGTATCCATGTTTTCAAACCCCTCCCTTCTGGAAAATGTCATTGTTGCTTAATCGAAGCTTGCAATGAAAAACTAGAACTTTACAGAGCATCCAGCTACAGACTTCGTGACCGCACACGAATACCACCACTTAAATAGCTTGACCACCAGACACGAGCCACCTTCTCCAGCATGTCCGCAGCATGCCATGCCGACCTGGCGCGTGTGCGGTGGACAGCAGAAGGGTGGCCTGCTGGTGCGCCGCGGCGCAGGCGACGTGCAACGGCGGACGACCAACGGCCGTGTTTGAAGAGCTCGCACTAATGATTTGGTTCCTAGATTTTCAGGGAAACTTGAGTATACTGAGAGGATTTCCATTATAAGGATTGATGGTCCAGCTAGGATTGATTGGTGAAGTATAGGGATGGTTCAAGAGGTAGTCATCAAGCAATCCCTTCTACCACCAAAAAGTCTCAATTCCAAATCCTGTGTAGTCGATTTCGGCAAAGAAAACGTATGAAATGCACCATTTCGGGGTCGCAGCGGTCCAAACCATTGGTTTGCCGCTCAAACGCTTCAGTGCAGGCAGCGGCCCGTTCGGGTCGGTGTGTCGTGGAACGGTCCCATCCATGGGGGAGTAGACTCCCAGAAAGACACCAAGTCAATGAACCACCCCCCGGCTGGAGCTCGGGAGGTACAATAGTAGCTTCGTCGTTCCTAGTAATGCCAGGAGCTACTAGCGTCCGACCGCTCCGTTCGTGGCGATCTGCGCTTCAGCTGAGTCCAAGCCTGCACCCGTGGCTCGGTTCGCGCCTGGCAGGCTTGGACTCGGAGCTTCTGGCCGCGCCTCGGACCGCCGCCACCGAATCGGGGGGGTCACGAGGCGTTCGGAAGCTTCTAATGGGACCCTGAAGGGTTTCCTTTTCTGGAGAAGCTTCTTGGAACAAGTGACTCTACAAGAACACAAGGTCACCAGTCAGGCTGTTCCCTTAGACCAGGCTAGGCGGCAAAAGAACATGGCCAGGCGTTGCACTGACCAAAACACCCGCAAGAACAGATTCTAGAGA